GGTCTCTTTCCCACATTAGGGTTTGTATCCAAAATATATACCCCAAGTTTAACGACGTGAAAATATATAGCCTAAAGCGTGACCTAAGTGTAGGGCTTTTTAAATAAATAAAGAATTATTCAAAAACATGCTGTAATTGCTGACATCTTGGGCAACAAAAAAATGTGTGTTTACGCTTTATTATATTAGTATAGATTTATGTTCAGGCGTAAAAAATAAATCTCATAAAACAATCAGCAATCTAAAGAAAAAACATTTTTATCAAAGCTATTTTACTTAGTTCCCTTATGAATGTAAATAGCAATTCAGTATATTTGTTATTCACGGATCATGTCTCTTTTAACAACGCGAAACAAGTAACGAGGGAAGTTATAATTGTTACTTTAAGTTTGTATCCGACACGACTGAACTTAATATTAAATTAATAATAAACAGTGTTTTCTATTGTTAGAAGAATTTTATTTTGTTATAAACTTACTTTGTAATAAATGTTTGAACGGAAATTCGTAAAATACGTGATGAAAATTTACTCTTCTGGATCTATCTACTAATTTTTAAATCTACATATTTGCTATTTATTTTTTACAGGCGTTACCGTTGATCATATTCTCAACTATTTATAACTTCAGAGTATTCTAACTCAACTTCAAACGTTTGTATATTTATTTGAACATATTTCAATTTATTGTGCTATGTATAAAACATGTACATGTAATAGAAAGTTTGCTATAACCATAAAGTTCAAAAAATAAATTACGCAATGATGAATGTGGTGTTCAATGTGCAATATTTCCAGCAATAACAGAGAACGCCTAACATCATCTGTATTTCTGCTGGCTTTGTATGAATATGCATTGCCCGTCCGGTCGAAGCCATTAATTATTCACAGATCATGCCAACGCTTGTTAAGAGAAAAGAAAAATGGCTCAAACAAAATAACAAAGAAACTTTTGTTCTTTTTTCGAAATTACAGAAACACATAATTCTTTTTAATTAAATAAAAACAAATGAATGGTTATTGTAAGCAGAAGCTAGTTGCTAGCAATACTTCAAATAAGTTCATATTATTTATGTATGTAAAATATTACAAAGTATATATATCTTTAATCAACACCATTAAGGTAACATTAATTTAATGTTTATTTCCACGTGTACGTATCAAAAGACGAATAAAGGCAGACTCATGTCATTCATAGTTACCGGTTAAATGGAAAAATCTCGTACATTTTAAAAATACTGACATAGTTATAATACCAGGACGACTACAAAATACCAATATTCACTATTGTTCGGTAACATATATTTAAAACCTCTCCTAGAACGTATTCAGCGTTGTATAATTTCTAACTTTGATTGCGTTCACAGTTCGTTAGTATGGAGTTTTTGACCGACTTCCCAAAAGAAGGAGGTATTCAATTCGTCGGTATATTTTTTTTTTATTTTTTTTTTTATGTGTGTTACGGCATAACTC